TCTGTACAAATTAATCACAGACCAGCTGCAGGGAGGCACAACTTTGGGGTAATTTATTTTGGTTTAACGACTTAATGACTTGCAGCTGGAAGGGAGACCAGGGAAAGGCAGAAACATCATTCAGTGAACACTCAAGCCCATGGATCTCAGTGCTGATGCCCCCCATGCCATGAAAAATCCCACCTGGACACGGCCATTGTGCCGGAGCAGGCCTGGTTTGGGTGGGAAGGCATCTCCAAGACCACCCAGTTCCAGCCCTGCCATCCAAGCTGTCCTTGAGCACTTCCAGCCGTGGGGCATCCACAGTTTCTCCTAAACTGGTTCCTAAAATAATAATGGCTGGGATGCAGGCAGCAGGATGGATGCCAGCAGTGGCTCACCCCTTCTCCACCCACAACAGGGTGGGAACCTCGTCCAAAAAAACTGGGATAGGTCCTCTGGACCAGCCCACCTTCACCCCCAGCCCCGCTCATTGTTTCCCTGAAGGTTCCCAGTCCTGGAATTTCCTTTAGAGGGGCAAAACAATATCAGGAAAATCGGTTTGTCTCTTTTTCTCTCCTTTTTTTTTTTTTCTTTTCCCCCCACAGCTAAAAAGCTGACAGAGGCCTCCCTGCTCGGCATGGAATAACATCCTCTGCCATCCAGGCCCCTCGTGGCCCTCGGCTCATCCCCAGCACTGACAACCCAAATCCCCCTTTCACACTCAGGATAAGCCTCAACGTGTGTCCCTGTCCCTATTTCCTGAGATAATCTGGAAGAAAAAAAAGGAAAGATCCTTTGTGGCCGCAGAGGAGCATCCCATCCCATCCCATCTCATCCCATCCCACCCCATCCGGCAGCTTCCCAACGGGAAGGGTGGGGGTGACATCCTCCAGGGCGAGGGGCAGTGGCCACAACTCTCCCGCTGCTGAGCCAGCAAAAAACACACCCAGAAAGTTCATGCAGCCCCCCCGGGCCTGGCTTTTCCCTGCTCCACGGATCCAGGTGCCGCAGGCACGCCGGGATATGCTGGAGTGTGGTGGGGAACTGTCCCATCTCCCGTGGGGAAGGGGGGAATGAGTCCCTGCAGCTTCTCCTCAGGAATTCAGCAGGTTTTGGGGCCCACGGTGACAGCTCCTTCCCTGGGATGCAGGTGTGAGTCCCCACAGGATCTCTGGGAAGGGCTGAGGGCCCGTGGATCTGGCTTCGCCCCTGCCTGGGGGTGGTGAGGACGTGGCTCCCAAGAGGCGTGGGGTGTTCCCGGCGCGGGGCCAGCGCTCCGAGCCCTCTCCAAAGGTGTGGTGTTCCAGCTGATCCCTGCTTCCCGAGGCAAAGGAGCCCTGTGTGCTGCCAGGAAATCCCAGCCCTGCCGAGAGCGGCCTCCCTTCCACGGAGCCCATTGTCACTTGTGGAAAACATTAACGGTTTGAGTGCTGAGGGAGAGCCAGGCGTGCCCCCAGATGTCAGAGGGGTCCCTGCCCGTGGATGCTAAAGGTCCCTTCCAACCCCAATTATCCTGGGATTTTCTACGATTCTGTGTCCAAACCCAGCCTAATGCCAGGTGCATCCTCCCCTCTGCGCTCTCCAGGACCTGGGAATCAGGGGATCAGCAGTGACAAGGGGATTCCCAGCTGTCCAGCCATTTTTTGGGATGCCTCTCCCTGGGGTGAGCGTTGAGAGTTTTTTGGGAAAAATCTAATAATATCCCTGGAAATGGCACGTTCCAGATGCCTGGATGGGGATGAAGCCTCTTCCCTGGGGGATGCTCCTGCTGCCAGATTTGGAAATCAGGGAAAAACCTGGGGTTTGGGATGCTGCCCTTAGCCTTGAGCTCCCAGGGAATCTCATCCCCAGGGATGTTCCAGAGGAGCCTTGTGGAACTCCACAGCTATATTTGAATTTCACTGCTTTCTCCTCATCTGCTGCCAGCTCTTTCTGGAAGTAAGAACTGAAGAAGATGGATATTTACCCGGAGGAAGGGTGGGATATGCCGTGGATGAATATTTACCCGGAGGAAGGGTGGGATACGCCCTGGAACTGGAAGCAGCAAACCCCTATAACATGATTTAACCATTTAAATGTCTCTTCCTTCTCGCTTCGCCTTTCATTTTGGAATTGAAATTGTGAAATTAATTGGATTTTTTTCAGTTAGACGGAAATGGATTTGGGATTCATCCGGAGCAGCAGATATTTAATATAGAGTGCATTTGTATAGACATTTAAAGTGCATTTTAATATCTACCCAATGAATTATAGCAACATAATCCTGTATCATGCACTAAATGCAGTGTCATAGAATTTAATGTATTAATAGAATGCTACATAATGTATGAAGTATTGTATTAAAATATTATTAAATGATTAATTAATAAAATAAAGAAAACTTAAAATATAAAAAAGGACATCATATATAATAATATAATATAATATACAATGTACAACATACTATGCAAATACATATTATATATTATTTATATACTATATGGTATATAACATATATACCATTTAATACATATTTAAAGTGGTTTAATATATAAGTAAATGTAGCAATGTAGTATTATATTACATATGTGGTGTTGTATAACTTAATATAGACCATATGATATATTTTATATCAGAAACTGTATAATATACAATATACAATATGTGATGCAAAATATAAATTAAGTATAAATTATATACTATAATATACTACTATAATAACACATAATATATGACATATATAACATTTATACATACATAATAAATAACATACAATATGATATATGTAATAATAAATGTATTATAATTAATTGTATGTAAAGATAAATAAAAATAAATATATATTAAAATATGTTCTATATTAAAATAAATACATAATGAATGCATATATCACAATAAATAATTAAATATATGTAACATATATTCAAAGGACATTTTGCCAACATTTTCCCCTTGGTATGTCTCATTCAAACAAGCAAAAAAAAAATCTCTTTTTTTAGGGAAAAGATTTAAAACTAAAAACAGCCCAAGAGGTGATAAAATACCCCTCCACAGTCTGTTCAGCCCAGCACTGCATTTCCCTGGATTTTCCATTTGAGCAGAGAAGAACACGACATTTTTAACTCTTCTGGCCGCATTCCAGGGTGGATTTTTCGGTTGGAGACAGGGAAAAACCAGCCAGTACCAGCTGGATTCTGCTGGAAAACCCAGTGTGACAGGATGAGCCTTGGGGTTGGAAATACTGGCAATATATGAAATATGTATGAAATACACATGACGTATATATGGCATATATATGAAATATATGACAGGTGGCTGTTAGGAGGAAATAAAATCCACATCCATGTGCCAACAATAAACCCGAGCAAAAAGCTTTGGATTTCACCTGGAAAAGCCAAATTTTTTTGAGGCTGGGAGGGGATTTAACCTATTTAAATAGCGTTTGATGCCATCTCGGAGTGGAGGTGTGGATATTTTAGAATTAGCCATCTGGAGAACTTCGCTGGAGGGGAAAATGGGAATTTGGCTTCTAAGGCAAACGGATGAAAATAGCTTGGTGACGAGGCTGTGATCCCGAATCTCTGCGTTCCTCCCTACAGCCAGGCTCGGGTGGCACCAACCACCCCAAAAGGTCCCCCTGCAGCCAGGGCTCTTCCCTGCCCAAAGCTTTTCCCTGGAAGTCTGGGGAGCACAGTGTGGGTCCAAGCCCTGCTGGCAGTGGAGGAGTTTCCTCCTTTACAGTAAGAGAGCATTTAGGAGTTTCCTGTTGCTCCCGGGGGGGCGGAGGGTCCCTGCAATCTGCAGGGTGGGTTCATTGTTTGGCTCCACGTTTTCCGGCCTCCGGCTGGAACAGGAACGCCCGGAGCTCCGTGGCCCTCCTGGGCCTCCGTGCCCACAGATTCCAGGGAGTTCTGTGTCCTTTATCCCCCATTCCAACAGCGCGGGGAGATGGGGGTGCTCCCGCTGCCACAGCTCCGGGAGCCAGCCCTCCTCCGTGTCCCGGATATTCCAGCAGGGATCTGTGCCAGCTGCACGATTAACTGTGCTCGGACATTTAAGCAGCGAGCAGAAAATGCACCTGCTTTCCCATGTGTGCCGAGCCCATTCCCAGGAATATCATGTATATGTTTGCCTATATTCCCACCCCAGCAATCAGGCCCCTTTCCACGCGCAGATGGGGTCATTCAGCCAGCTCCAGCTTCCCAAAAAATTCCAAGTGCCATGGCTTGGAGAGTGAAACAGTGACAACTGAGACCAAAGTCCTTTGTTCCATCCCTTGATGGCCCAGGCTGGGATAAGTCTGAGGAGGAGCAGCTGAAGGAGCTGGGAATGTTGGAGAAAAGGAGGCTCAGGGGGAACCTTCTCGCTCCCAAAAACTCCCTGACAGGAGGGTGGAACCAGGCCAGAGTCAGGCTCTGCTCCCAGGGAACAAGGGACAGCGTGGGGGGAAAGGCCTTAAGTTATGCCAGGGGAGGTTTAGGTTGGATATTGGGAAAAATCCTCCCCAGAAGGGATGTCCAGCCCTGGCACAGCTGCCCAGGGCAGTGGCAGAGTCCCCATTCCTGGAGGGATGTAAAAGCCTGTGGATGTGGCACCTGGGGGCATGGGTTGGTGTTGGGCTTGGCAGCACTGGATTAACATTGGACTTGATCTTAGCAAAAAAAAAAAGCGCAAATTCTGCCCATTTTTACTCATTGCACCACGAGTTTCAGTATAGGCTCAGATCTGGGATGACATTCCCGGTGCACTTGGGTTTGGGGCCAGGCTGGGTTGGTCCTCACCCATTCCCAGGATTCAGGGATGTGGTGCCATGGGATGCCCCTTCCCTGTCAAGGGAGTGGGACCCAGCAGGAAGGAGCCGGGGGTCCCTGCAGCGCTGGGAGGGGGCCGGGCTGGGCACAGGGAAGCCGGGAATGCGCGGGAAGGATGCGGGATGTGGGATGCGGAGCACGCGGGAGGTTGCCAAGGCAACCTCCCTCCTCCATCTCCTGCCTCCCCCGGGCGGGGTGACCCCGCGGGGACCCGCAGGCGATCCGAGGGCGGGGTGCGGGATGCGGGGGGGCCGGGCTGCAGCTCCCGCCCGCCGCAGCGCCGGGAATCGGCCGCGGGATCGGGAGGCTCCGCGCCGGCAGCGCCCGGGGGATGCTCCGGCTCCTCGCCGCAGGGCACCGCACCCCGGAGGGAGGAGGGTACGTCTGCTGCGCTATTTTCCATCGGAAATCCAGAGCCTGGATGGGAAACTTGCGTTCTGCTTCTCTTTAATGTGGAGCTGATGCCTGCGGCGTAGGGATGCGGGAGCGGGGGAAGAGCCCGCGTGCCCATCCCTGCTCTGCCTTTCGCTTTAAAAGGTCCGGATCCTCCTGGTCATCTGACTCAGGTCAAGCAAGACTTTCCGTTGCCAAGAGCCGGCGGATCCCACCGGAGCATCTCCCCTCGCCGGCTGCTGCCCCCCGGGAGGGAGGCGGGAGGATCCTGCAATCCCTGGAAGGCTGAGAGGTAAAATATTCCCAGCTCGGTTTCTCCTTCTCTTTCCTTTCCCCGCAAGGTTAATGGAATCCTGGAGGTTTGCAAGGGTCTGCTGAGGTGGATGGCGTTGATTCCCAGGCCATGCCGGCACAGATTCCCAGGCCATGCCGGCACAGATTCCAAGGCCATGCCGGCACAGATTCCCAGGCCATGCTGGCACTGGTTCCCAGGCCGTGGTGCCTGGTTTGCCACTGCCAGCTGGGGAGCCCCACAGATGGTTAATGCCCACCCCACCGCACAGCCCCTGAGATCCCAAACAGCTGGGATGCTCCAGCCGGGAGAGCCCACTGAGACCCCTAAAACACCCACAGAGCCCCCTGAGACCCCAAACAGGCGGGATGCTCAGACCTGGAGAGTGATGCCACTGCCCTGAGGAGCGAGGTGAAGGCGTCCAGGCAGGGCGGGGGGGGATCGATAGATGCAGCCAGGGGGCCATGGCCAGAGCTGCCTGATCCAAGGGGGATAGCAGGGGATTGGCTTGGATGTGCCATGCACTGTAGCTCTCACCCCTTCTCTCTGCCCATGCCCTGCCCGCAGGCTGGCCCCCCATGGATCACCTCCCGGCATGAGCACCGACGCCGAGCAGCTCCTGGCGGGGGCCCGGGCGGCCGCCGTGCCCCTCTGGACCGTATCCAGCTGGGCCGGCTCCGAGATGCCCCCCAACAGCAGCGCAGCGGCGGGAGAGGCCGGGCGGCGGCAGGGCCCAGCGGAGCAGGGAGGGACGGCGGGCGAGATCGCGGGCATGGTGGTGATCCAGTGCATCTACGCCCTGGTGTGCCTGCTGGGGCTGCTGGGCAACTCCCTGGTCATCTTCGTCATCCTGCGCTACGCCAAGATGAAGACGGCCACCAACATCTACCTGCTCAACCTGGCCATCGCCGACGAGCTCTTCATGCTCAGCATCCCCTTCGTGGCCACCTCGGCCGCGCTGCACCACTGGCCCTTCGGCCGGGCGCTGTGCCGCACCGTGCTGGGCGTGGACGGGCTCAACATGTTCACCAGCGTCTTCTGCCTGACGGTGCTCAGCCTGGACCGCTACATCGCCGTGGTGCACCCGCTGCGCGCGGCCACCTACCGCCGCCCCAGGGTGGCCAAGATGGTCAACGGCGGCGTGTGGCTCCTCTCCCTGCTCGTGGCCTCGCCCATCCCCGTCTTCGCCGGGACAGCGGCCACGCACGACGGCCAGGCCGTGGCCTGCAACCTGCTGTGGCCCAGCCCGGCCTGGTCGGCCGCTTTCGTGGTGTACACCACCCTGCTGGGGTTCCTGCTGCCCGTGTCGGCCATGGGGCTGTGCTACCTGCTCATCGTGGGCAAGATGCGGGCGGTGGCGCAGCGGGTGGGCTGGGAGCAGCGCCGGCGCTCCGAGGGCAAGCTCACGCGCCTGGTGCTCATGGTGGTGGCCGTGTTCGTGGTGTGCTGGATGCCCTTCTACGTGGTGCAGCTGGTCAACCTCCTGCTGCCCGGCCGCCTGGACGCCACGGTCAACAACGCCTCCCTCATCCTCAGCTACTCCAACAGCTGCGCCAACCCCATCCTGTACGGGTTCCTCTCCGAGAATTTCCGGCACTCCTTCCACGGCGTGCTGCGGCGCTGCCTGGACGCCAGCCTGTGCTGCTGCCACGCCGAGGACAGGGACGGCGACGAGGACGAGGAGGAGGAAGAGCCCCTCGACTACTGCGCCATCCCCCGGGGGGACGACAAGGGGAAGGGCTGCGTGTGTCCCCCCCTGCCCTGCCAGCAGGACCCCCTGCACCCCCAGCCCTGCTGCAAGCCCGGGCCCCTCCTCACAAAGACCACCACCTTCTAGGGGCCCCCACGCCGTGCCGGCCCCGGGGATGGAAGGGGATCCCGGAGGGAGAGGGGATGGATGCCGTGCCCGTCCCGCCGGCCCCACCCGTGCTGTGCAGTTCCCAAAATAAAAAGCCATAAGACTGGCCTGGGATACCGTGAATTCCATCGACCGAGTCATTATTGCCGCTCCCTTCGGCACCCAGGAGCCTTGGCTGGGATCAGGGATGGGGAGGATCCCCAAATGCCATTGGGGTTTATTAACCTGCCCCTCCAGATCAATAAAAAACACGGTCCTGTTCCTTCCCAAGACATGCCCTGAGAAACAGGGGAAAGTCCCCAAGCCCATCAGCCCCTCCACGTCTATAGCCGAGTGAGGTCCCACCAACAGTCACTCCCACTGCCCCTCAGACTCCCAGGATTTTAGCATGCATGGGACCAAACTGTATTTCATGTGCCAAATCTCGGGTAAACTTGAGAACCCCCAGGAACTCGAGGTGAGGAACAGCACAGGGGTGACACCGGCTGGGCAGCATCGAGGTCGCATTAAATGAGCCATTTCCAGCTTATTGGGTTTATTTGGGGTTTAACTTTGTCCTTTTAATTATTGTTCTTGTACATTATTTACGGTTCATTCCTTCTATTTTAATCCCACTGGGGAAATAACCGGTCGGGCACGTTTTCAGCCCTGAATGCTCTTGGGTTCTTTTTGGTGGTTCCGGGAGCTCGGTGAGGAAAACCAGTCATTTTTTGGGAAGGGGAGAAAGAACATTTCCTCAGCAGCTTTCTATAAACCAGACTGTAAAAGCTTTATTGGTCTCCACACAGGATCACTGCGTGACATCACGGAGGGTATAATTCCAATAAATAAATAAGTATTTACAAATGTGCTGGGGAGGGGGAAAGAAAACAGGGGGCAGGACCTTTGGAAGGAATTAAAGACATCTGCGTGTCTCAAACACTTTTTTCATAAGACAAACCACCACAGTGGGAATTTGAGAGAAGCACAGAAGGGGAGGAGCAGGGGTTTTGGGTGGCAGAACCTCTGACCCATGTAAGGCACCGGAGGGGCGACCATGACAAACTGACTTTGTTTAACAACAAGCTGAGTTTTAAGCCAGATGAGGGAAAAGGCCAGGAAGAAGCAGCTCCTGCAAGGTGGGATGATGCTTCTTATCATGCCAGCGTCCTCTCCTCCCAGGAGCTATCCCATAAACCAGAAGGTGCTCATCCCTTCTGACCGGGCATAGCTGGCTCAGGGTCAAACGTGGTCACGTCTTAGAAGGGGCCATAAACCACCAAAGACCCCCGAGGTGCCCCCAGACTCATTTCTGGGGCTCCCACCAGAGGGTTGTGTGTGATCCACAGTGCTGGATCAGGCAGGGGAGGTACCTGGGTGTTCCCACCTGAGCCTGAAGGTGTTTTAACCCTTGGAGCTTTGTGTTTTGGGGGCTTCCCCCACCCCTGACGGATCAAGGCTGTGACCATCACACATCAAAATTGCAACAGCAAGTGCCCTCACTGGAGCCACAGGTGGTATCTTTCCACTGTCTACTCTTATCCTTTCTTTTTCTTTCTTTCTTTCTTCTCTTTATATATTTTCTTAAGTGACTCCTTTATATTTTGATATTCTCCATTCCTATAGGTAGTGCAAACAGCTCCATCCCTCCTTTCCATTGCAGCCAAATTGTTCTGAAATAAACCTGCCACAGACTTAAATTTGCAATAAATCATTCACTCTAATTGTCTATTGACAAGACCCTCTGTTACCCGGCCCCAGGGGCAACAGCCTTTTAGGAAACCCACAGTTCACACCACTATTTTGATTTTCCTTGGAATTTGCAGCGTAGGTTCAGCATTCCAGGGGGGATGTTGCATGTCAGCGGGTTCAGAGTATGTGAGGGGGGAGTGGTGGGGGAACAGGACCCCCCAGCTCTGATCCCGGGCTCGCCAAACTTCCTGTGGGAAAGCAAACTGCTGCTCTGGGATGATATTTCACTGGCATAAAGCTGTCAGCACCCGCTCCGACATTCCCACCAGCAGCTGCCGGCTTCACCCCACCACGGCCGCCGCAGCAGGACCCCCATGGAACGACGGAGCTGGAAAAACACATCCTTTTCTAGATCTTCCCCCAGGCCATGGCTGGAAAATAAGCAGCAGGCAGGATCCTGCCCCGTGGGAATGTTCTGCTGTGAGTTCCAGCATGGATTAGACTCAGGCCCGGTCAAGGGAAAGCAGGAAAAATCCCTGTGGGCAGGAGGGATCGTAAGTGGGTCGGTAAAAATACCTTGAATCAGTTGAAATGCAGCGAGGGTGGGAAATCAGGGAAGGAATTGGGTGGGGAGCACGAGGCTCCGTGGCGCCACAAACCTTCCCTACCACGGAAAAACCAACCCCGGCAGCGTCGTGTCCCTGTTTAACCTCCACCCAACCCGCCCCACAGAGAGCCCCAAAACAACGTGAGGGAACGGGAATCGGGCATTTTAGCCCCCGCGGGTGACACTCAGCTGGGTCCACGCTACCACCAGTGATCTCAGCTGGGAAGTGCTCAGGGATGGGGTGGGGCGTGGGGGCACAGTGCAGACACGGGGGGCAGAGGGGTCAGATAAAGTGCTGCCCACAACACCTTTGCTCCTTCTTCAATCAACTATCAGTTTAAAACAAATTAACCCGACTCCGGACAAAGGCAGGAGCCTCCCAGTCCCGGAAAACCACCCTCTCCAGCCCGGCTCCAGGGGGAGGGTTTGGGGGCCAGGCGACCTTCCACAGTCCCCACCGAGTCACTCAGGCGGTGCACACCGTTCCAGATGGAGATGTCCCTCCTAGGTTTTTCCTTGGTGCTTCCCCGACCACTGGCTCGGGAAAAGGAAAGCTGAATGCCGGCTGCCGCCTGCGAAGGGAGCGGGAATGGAGCAGGAACGAACGGAGCAGGAACGGAGCAGCCTCCGTGCCTCCTGCCTTCCTGGCTCTCTGGCGCCAGCATTGCAAGAGCCGGGTAGAAAGCAGCGAGTATTTTTAGAAGTGAGTTGATCACAGCTTTTCCCAAATCATCATTAAAAAATTGCAGCAGGGGCGAGGTGTGTAAATATTACCCAGTTCGGTCCACCTCCCTCTCTCCGTCCTGCCTGGAGCCCCTACAGTTTCTGTGCGGGGCCGGCACAGCCCGAGGCCACCGGCTGGAGCCCCAGCTCCTTCTCGTGGGGACCCCCGCACTTGTAGTCCATGGTGGCGGGGGGCCGGCATCGCTTCTTTGCCAGGTGGTACCCCAGAGCCAGCAGGGCCAGGGCGGTCAGCACGGCGCCCACGGTGATGCCCACCAGGGCACCGGGGTGGAGCAGCTCCGCCTTCGGGGGGGTCCGGCTGGGCGCGGGCGTCCGCGGGACGGGCGCGTCGGGGGAGAGCGTCTGGGGTTCGAAATCGCCCGAGTACGGTCCCTCCGGTTCCTGCTCCGGGACCGGGACGCAGTCGATTTCTCTGACGAGCCGGTAGCCGGCGGGGCAGTGGCACTGGAAGCCGCCGGGGTGGTTGGTGCAGTTGTGCTCGCAGTAGTTCATGTCGCACTCGTCGATGTCCACGCAGAGCTCGTCGTCGTCCAGCACGAAGCCCTCGGGGCACTTGCAGTCCTGGCCGTACTGGTCGCACAGGGGCGGGCACTGGCTGTCGCTGCAGTGCGGCTGGCACCGGCTGGGGTCCCGCGGGTCCACGGCGTAGCCTTCGTAGCACCCGCAGAGGTACCCGCCGGGCACGTCCTCGCAGCTCTGCTCGCAGGGCGCCCGGTAGCAGTGGGACTCGCGCTGGCAGTGCCCGTCCACCATCCTGTAGCCGGGGTGGCAGCGGCACTCGAAGCCGCCCATGGTGTTGACGCAGAGCTGCTCGCACAGCCCGGGCTCGCTGGCGCAGTCGTCGTTGTCCTCGCAGGTGCTGCCGTCGGCGCCCAGGTGGTACCCGGCGTCGCACATGCACACGAAGGAGCTGCCGGACACCACGCAGTGCTGCTGGCAGGGCGCCCCCGCGCAGGGCGAGCGGCACCCGCGCCCGTCGGGAGCCAGCACGGAGCCGTCGGGGCAGGAGCAGCGCGGCCGGCCCGAGCCCTCGCTGCAGGTGCCCTCGCAGCCGCCGCCGCCCAGGCGGCACGGCCACGCTCCCGGGGCGGCGCGGCCCCAGCGCAGCCGCCCGCCCTCGCCGTCCTCGTCGCAGCGCAGCTCCAGCCCCAGGGCGGGCACCGAGGCCACGCTGCGCGGCGGCAGCGCCAGGAATTCCCCTCCGCGGGCGCCGAAGGGGGTGGCGTAGCTGACGGCGAGCCCCTCGGCGGGCGGCAGGAGGGGGCAGCTGCTGCCGTAGTTGTACTCGCAGAGGAAGCCGTCGGCGGGGTCCTCGCAGCGCCGCTCCTCCCAGAGCAGGTCCCGCGACACGGTCACGCAGCGCTCGCCGCAGCGCGGCCCCGACGGCGCCCAGTTGATGTAGTCCGTGCGGTTGTCCCGGGTGACCCAGCGGAAGCCGCGGAGCCGCAGGGAGGGCTCGGTGCAGCGCAGCGAGGGCGCCAGGCTGAGCCCCAGCCACAGGCGCCCGCCGCGGTTCTGCAGCAGCAGCGCGATCGCCTCCTCGGCCACGGTGGAGCGCACGGTCATGAGGTGCCCCCCGCCCCGCTCGCACTCCGCGCTCGCCGCCGAGAACGGGCGCGACCCCCAGAACACGGCGAAACACGCGTGCTGCAGGCACTGCGCGCCCGACGGGGCGAGCGGCCCCTGCTGCCCCGGCTCTCCCGGCTCGCCCAGCCCCATCCCGAGCAGCAGCAGCGGCAGCAGCAGCGGGAGCCGCCGCATGGCCGGCGGAGGGGGCGGCCGGCGCCGCCGCGGAGCTCTGGCATGGCCGAGCCCGCCGCCCGCCCCCTTTATAGCCGCCCGCCCGCCCGCCCCGTCGGGGGAAGGAAGCGCCTCCGGGGACGGGGAGTGATTGCGGTGGGTGAATCCCGGCCAGACGCGGCCCCCTCCCACCCGCCCACGCCGGCCCCGGGCCCCCTCCCGCATCCTCCCCACGGCTCCTCCCCGGCTGGTCCCGCCCGGGAGCAGCGGGAGGGGCGGGAGCCGAGCGGGGTATCCCGCGGGATGGACGGGGGCGCGCTCTGGGGAGCGGGCTGGCGCTGGGCACGACCGGGGTTTATCCTGGGGCAAAGGGGGAAACAGCAACTGGATTTCTCAAAAGGGTTCCTCGGGATCGTCACCCCTCTGGGATCATCATCCCAGTGGGGTCATCACCCCAGTGGGGTCATCACCCGGTTTGTGCAGCAGCCACGCAGGGTGTGGCAGCGGGCACAGGGCAGGGCATGTCCCCCTGTGCCGGGTACTGCTGAGCTCACACCGCAAATCCTGCCTCCAGGTTTGGATTCCGCCTGAAAACAAGGACATTAAAGGGCAGAGAGCATGTCCAGAGAAGAGAACGCAGCTGGGGAAGAGTCTGGAGCACCAGGAACACCTGAGGAAGCGGAGGGGGGCTCAGCCTGGAGAAAAGGAGGCTCGGGGGGGACCTTCTTGCTCTCAAAAACCCCCTGACAGGAGGGAGAGCCAGGTGAGGGTCGGGCTCTGCTCCCAGGGAACAAGAGACAGGATGAGAGGAAACGGCCTCAAGCTGTGCTCGGGGAGGGTCAGGTTGGATATTCGGAAAGTTTCTTTCATAAATAATTTAAACATCAATAATAAATTAATATATATGTATATATGCAGATAAATCATTCCATATAATTTATATAGTTATATAAATTATATTATTAGAATAATTAGTATTAATTTTATTAAGCATTATTATTACCCTTTCCCCCACCTTCCCTTTTCCCCACAGCCTCCTCCCAGGGCACCAGGGAGTCTCTGTCCTGGGATATCATCTCCCTTTCCCTGTGGGCACCTCCAGCTGTCCCGTTCCCTGTGTTATTTTTGGGGAGCTATCTCTGCTGCCAGGACACAGCCAGGAGCAAAGTAAAAATGAAAAGCAAACATCCAGAGCTTCTCCACTCCAAAGAAAAGGTATTTGACCCTTTTTGGTTTTAATTCCGAAAGGCTCGGTCACTGCAATTACCCCTCGGGATCCCCCACGGAGCAGCAAATCCCGATTTCCTCGGCTCATCCCAAGGAATTTACTTCATTAAAACTTCATTTATTATTTATTAAACTCCTGTGGTTTGTCTTGTCCTCTTCCCACCCCGTGAGGCTGTGGGGAAAAGGGAACATGGGGAAATGGGAACATGGGGAAAAGGGTAATAAAAATGTTTAATAACACTAAAAATAATTATTATCTCTCATTTCATCCCCTCGAAGATTTCAGCTCTACCACACGCTTGGGAAATCAGTGTCCATGGGGTTTGATTCCAGAGGCAGGGATGCAGCCCAAGGGGAAAGGCCGGAGGGACAGATTAGTGTCCACGGGTGTGAGCTTGCAGTGGCCATTCCTGGGACAAAGAATTCATCCAAGCAGAGCTCAGCCGCCCTCCATCCCCTCAGAATGAGGACAGGATCATTCCCAGGACTTCCCTGGAGAGCTGGGTAACAGTGACCTTTCTTGGCTTTAGTAAAACCTCTTGCTTCCCCAGTTTTCACTTCAGATTTTTCAATTCTTCTTCTTCTTTTACTTCCTTTTTTTTTTTTTTTTTTTTTTTTTTTTTTAAAGAAGCAAACCAGCAAAATAAGGGGGGAATTCTGGGGCAAACAACAAAAAATGAAAGAACACCAAATTTCATAGGTGGAAAAGAAAAGAAAAAAAAAACACAATAGATTTTTGGTTTGTTACTTAATTTTTTTTTAAAAGCAACTGTGAAACTAGATAAAAAAAAAATTCCTTGTCAAGGCTGCGTGATGGGAAATATTTCCAGGAAAAAATAAGGTCCTCCCAAACAATGATCCCACACTGGTGTCCTTGCCCCACCAACAACATTTGCAGGGTCGACCTTTGCGGCTAAAAAGATAATTGGGGCGGGAGGAACACGATTAATCATGTTTTAATAATTCCCTTTTTATGCCGATGAACCTTCCCCTCGTCTGCCTCCAGCCCCGGGGCTGACTCAGGGTGCCAGAAATGCCCTTCCTGCCGGGAGGCTGCTTTTCCTCCCCCCCAAAGCCATTAATCATGTTCCTCTGCCACACAAAGCTCTTGCGAGATGTTCCCGGAGCGATAACGGGCATGGGGACCTTTCCCTTTCCCTTCGGCTCTGACTCATCCCTGTCACTGTCACCCCGTGGGCAGAGGGACGCTGGGAGGGGGTGCTTGGAATTGTTGTCCTGACCTGCAGGATTTTTGCCTGCTTTGCGGGGTTTTGGAGATGAGTTTCTCAGTTGGAATGCCGGCAGTTATCCACGGGGGAATAGAATGCAGCGGAACATAAAATCATAATACAACGCAACGTAATTATTATCATAGAATAACAGCATCAGAAATGGTTTCATCCTATTATTTCATCCCTTAAAAGCAGGTCCCTACCCTCATAAAGAGCTGTGCTGAAACCAGAGGGATTGCTCACGGATTTAGGACCTTGATCATGGGATTAGGACCTCGGTCATGGGATTAGGACCTTGCTTGTGGGTTTAGGATCTTGGTCATGGTCTTAGGACCTTGCTAATGGGTTTAGGTCCTTGCTTGTGGGCTTGGGACCTTCCTCATGGTTTTAGGAACTTGTTCATGGGTTTGGGACTTTCCTCGTGGGCTCAGGAAGTTGCTCATGGGTTCAGGAACTTGCTCATGGGTTTAGGATCCAGCCAAGCCCATCCCAGTGCCCCCACATCGTGGCCTTGGTAGGGATGAAGGGAAAGGCCTCACCCAGGATGGCAGTGCCTGGGAAAGGCCGAGGCTCCACGTGGGCTGAGCCCTGGCAGAGGATTTGGGAGCACCATCCCACTGCTGTGGGAAACACAAGGATTCCGAGCACCAGGCCAATAGATTTTTATGAATATATTTATTAAAAACCATTGAAGACAGTTTCTGTTCAGGTTTTATTGGTGTTTCATGCGGAAAGCAACTTACAGCCTTATTCCACAGGTGGGAAAACCCATTCCTTTGAGTCCAACTGTTTAACTCTGGCCCAGGAAAATAAAACACCCATCCATGAGAAAAAAAACCAAACCAACATGGACCAGGATGAATGTCCTGTATCCTCTGTAAGACAGGGCCCCAAACTATCCAGTCCCATTCCTATTTGCACATCAGGAAATATCCCACCAGAGAGAATCCAAACTAAACCCCAGCACAAAGTAGTGTCGGACCCACCACCATATTCCACTGGAATACACAGGGGTTGTAACAGGAACCGGGATTACCACTTTTTCTGGAATAAATAACACACCTCAGGTTTGTACCAGCTCTGATCCCACCCTTAGGCTTCCTTTTCCCTTGTTTATACTGTTATATCCAAGTGGGCACCTTAATAAAAACTAAGGCTGTCTTTTCCCACAGATCCCGAGTTGGCATCATTTGATGTGTGTTGGTTGTCCCCTGACTCTGAGGGGGTAATTAATCTGCCTAATTTGTTCATTGCTGGCTTGGATAACGCAGACAGGGGAGGCATTTTCTGTAGGATTTCCAAGAATCCCACTGCTGCATTCTCCCACTTCTCCAGCCGCCGTGCAGAGAAAAAGAGAGCACAGACAGAACACGGAAAACATTTCTATCAGCTACATTTTCCTGTGGTGTGTTTTCACCTCACAATGGAGCCCCAAAGACGAAAAAATAACAGCAGGAAAGGGTTTTCCTCCATGCTTGGAAGAACAGGATGCAGGTCGCTGCCTACTGCAAACTCCTTTGTGTTCAATTCCCACTCCTGGAGCAATTAAGCCTCGAGGACAATAAACCCAGCAGAAACTTCAGGAAGCTGCTGTACCCTTGAAATCACATGTCTGTTCTTTTCTAGCACCGTTTTTTGCCTTGCAGAGCATGGACAGACCAGGAAGGGATGCTGCTGGATGGGAAGCAGGTCCCTGTGCCCCTCAGGATTTTGGGAAGGATTCCTGATGAAACAGCTGGAAGAGGCTTCGCTGTCACGAGGGGCTCCTGAAGCTGGGGAAGTACCTGGGGAGCAACTTTGCCCTGAGAAAGCATTTACTGTGGGGTTACAAGTTTTACACACGACAAAGAGCAAATATCCAACATCCAGAGTGTTCCTTACGTGGAGAGGGAGGGAGGGAGGGAGGGAAAACACGCTCAGCCTGGAGCCCAAGTAGCCAGGAAGGGATCCTACCCAAAAAGAATGATCCAACAGGAAAAGTCCGGCCTCCCATCCGGTTGCAGCGAAGGAGAGCATTGTTTTCTGTATTTTGCAAGTGGATTTAGGCAGGATACGCTGGAAATGGGTAGGTGGCTCTTCCAAACACAGCTTTTCCTACCTTTTTTTTCCATACAGGTGCTGCCTTGGCCCCTTGCTGAGCAGTTTTCCCAGTGCTGAGGTGACATATTTGTAATAAAAGCCCAAAACCAAAACATTCAAACCCACGCTGCGTGTGTCTGCAGGGGCCAGTTCTCATCCCTGGTGAGACACATCCGAATTTCAAGCCCTTTTCCAAGAGAACAAAGCAAATCCAAGGCTGGAATGCAGCCGTGAGTGGTGGGGGAGGGGGGGAGTAATGCTTTGGGGGGCTTCCGGAGAACTCGAAACGAACTGTTTGCCTTTAGGAGTCCGAACCGTTAGGTGTAATTCGCCTTTTTGATGCACGGGCGAGGTCCCGAGGAGGCGAGGAGAAGCCCTGTCAGGCAAATCCCACCTCGTTCCTTCTCCCCCGCCTCAGTTTACTACTCCCTTGGAGCAGCAGGACATCACCACACAGCCGCACACTGAGCAAACAGCATCCCCCTCCTCTCCCTTTTACTTCCATTTTCAATCCCCCCGCGCTCCCCGCCTCCCTCCTACCTGCGCTCCCCGCCCTGCCCGCGGCTCTCGGGCTGCTCGGGCACCCAGCAATAATTATCCGCCGCGCTCTTGGCCGGCCGCTTCTCCTTCTTGGCGGCCCTCCTCCTGCAAGCCACGAGGGCCAGGGCGAAGGCCAGCAGGAGCAGGATGGCCACCAGGCTGCCCAGGATGTAGTAGAGGAGCAGCCGGGGGCCGTCGGCGCTGTGCTCGGAGCCGGGGGCCGGACCCTCCGCCGTGGGCGCCGCTGGCGTCGCCCCGGCGGGGATTCCCCGAGTCCGTGGGATGCTCGCGGTCCACGAGGGGCCCGTGCTGCGCGGGGTGCTGGCGGCCCACGAGGGGCCCGTGCTCCGCGGGGCGCCGGTGGTCCCCGGCGGGCTGTCGGAGACCTCCGCGGGCTCCTCTCCGGCGGTGGCTGCGGGGCGGCAGCCGCGTCCCCCCTCCTCCTCCTCCTCCGGGAGGAAGCCGGGCGGGCACACGCACTCGTAGCTCCCGGGCAGGTTGCGGCAGGGCCCGGGGCAGGGATCCCGCAGGCACTCGTCCACATCCAGGCAGGAATCCCCGCCCGGCTGGCGCTGGTAGCCGGGCCGGCAGGCGCAGCGGAAGGAGCCGGGGACGTTGATGCAGAGCTGCGGGCACACCCCGGGCTGGGCACACTCGTCCAGGTCGTGGCAGTGGAGGCCACCCGGCCCCGCCGGGTGGTAGCCGGGCGGGCACAGGCACACGAAGCCCCCGGGAGTGTTGTGACACTGGTGCTGGCACGGCCCGGACAGACACTCATCCACGTCCAGGCAGCTCCGGCCGTCGGGGGCCAGGGCGTATCCGGCCTCGCAGCCGCACTCAAAGCCGCCGGGACGGGCCCGGCAGGTGCCCTGGCAGGGGTTGGGATGGCAGGAATCCTCGGGCACGCAGGAGGCCATGTCGGCAGCCAGGGAGTAGCCGGGGTGGCAGGAGCAGCGCGGGGGCTCCCCGGGCACCTCCAGGCAGCGGTGCTGGCAGCCCCCGTTGCGGTGGGCGCAGGCCACGGGGCACAGGGGCCCGGGGGGGTCCCAGGCGAAGCCCCCTCCGTCCAGCTGCCCCTTGCAGACGGCGAAGGCCGGGCTCCGGCCCCCCTCGCAGTCCACCTCCGCCAAGGTGCCGAAGGGAGCTGCCGCCAGCCGGGAGCTGCGCACCCCGAAGGGGGTGGTGTAGGTGACCCGGCCGGGCCCGGCCAGCGGCAGGAGGCCGCACATTCCCTGGAAGCTGAACTTGCAGAGGAAGGCGGGCAGCGGGAGGCGGCAGGGCCGGTCGGCCCAGCCTGCGGGGCCGTGGGGCCCGTGGGGCCGCAGGCTGGCGCAGCGGGCGCTCGTGCAGGTCATCGACGGCTCCGACGCCCACGCCGAGAAGTTGCCGGGCTCCCCGCCGGCCACCCAGGAGAATCCCCGCAGCGGCTCCTGCGGCTGCACGCAGTGCCCCCGCTGCAGCCACAGCCCGATCCAGGCCGGTCCGTGCCCCCCGGCCACCTCCAGCAGCTCCTGCAGCCGCATGGCCTCGCCAGGGCTGCCCACGCTGGCCAGGTTGCCGCCGTTGTGCCGGCAGCGCTCCTGGGCGCCCTTCCAGCCCATCTCATCCCGGTGCAGGGTGTAGCAGGCGTTGTCGGCACACACCACCTCCACCTCCTCCCCGCCACAGCCCGGCACCGCCAGCACCAGCACCAGCAGCAGCAGCCGAGCCACAGCCATCCCAGTGGCTGGACGGACGGACACACGGACACGGGGACTGAGAACGCCGGCTCACATCCCCTCGTCCCGCTGAGCTCGCCCTACGCGCATCCTGTACTCCCAGGTCTCCTATTTATCACCGGAGGCCACGGCTTCCTGTAGCGTGGTTCGGCTCCCGCTTGCTTGTTGGTCCCTCGCTGTCTTCCCCTTCCCCCCCGGCACGGCCGGCTCCGAGCTCCCATCCCAAAGTTTCGGCAGCTCTGGCTTGGTGACGCTTTTCTACGGGAAAAACTCACCCCGTTCCTGCCTTTTTTTTTTTTTTTTTTTTCAGACGTTGTTGTTTTTCAAGGGCTTGATTTACTCCCTCGCCCAGCAGACGGTTTTCTAACCCCTAATAGGGTCCGAGAGTTTGCAGGCATGTCTTGCTAAAAGGGGAAGGAAAACAACCAAACCAAAGAGCCGTGGGATCCCCGGTTATCGGCCTCTAAAGCAGACGGAATATTTGGCGCCGTCTCCCCCTGCGCACGCGCGACGCTTCCAGTGCATTTTTCCCCCTTCTCCGTGTGCTTTAAATAGATGGATGAGCCCTGGAATAGGAGCTGGGTCGTGGGAAGGTCCAGGCAGCCAGGACAGAGCCAAGCCCTGATGCCGCCCTGAGCAAACCCTAGTCAGTGTTGGCATGGCGTGGGTGAGGGTGGATGGTGGAATTTCAGAATGGTTTGTGCTGGAAGGGACTACAAAACTCATCCAGTTCCACCCCCTGCCATGGGCAGGGACACTTTCCACCATCCCAGGCTGCTCCAAGCCCTGTCCAGCCTGGCCTTGATGCTCCATCAGCACCTCCCTGATCACCTGTGGCAGGAGGAAGGCAGGGTGGTGTCTCCAGCCACGGTGCTCCTGGTGCTTTCCACTGGCTGGGAGAGCCTGGGATGAAGGTGAGCTGGTGGGTGCTTTGATGACACGTGTCGAGCAATGCCAGTCACTGGAACACGTGGCAGAGCAGGAGGAGGGATAACAAGTGACCAAAATGAGTTTAAAAATAGCTCATCGCTGATGGTCCTGCATCCCCAGGAGTTTCTCCTGGAGCTTCCCTCTGGCAGCAGCTCATTCAGACTTTAACCCCTTGACCTGGGAGTCTGTTGTATCTTTTCCTGCTTGGCAGGCACCCATCACAGCCTGAATTCCCTGTTCATTCCAGGATTTGCTGGTTTATCTGGGTCTCGTGTGCTGACTTGGCTCAGTAACCAGGGAAAGCGAAATGAGGAACCCCTTCGTTCACTTCCCCCCCTAAACAGAAAAGCTGCCAAAAATCCCACCACTGAACACTGCGGATTTCTGTCACTGTCCCCCAGGCCGGTCCATGTACAGCATTCCTGGGATAGGCCTGGTTGCTGGGATGTCTCCTGGCATCTCCTATCTGAGCAGAGGTCCGGAGATCCAGACCTAACACTCCAAATCCAGAGCATTTAGGGTCAGCAGCCACCCCAAAAAACTGCAGTGGGAGGTAAAAAAAAACCACCTTGATGCCATTTCAACCTGGTTTTGTTCAGAATTTCAGAAAGCTGGGTTGAGGGGGGGATTTTTGTTTGCCTTGGAAGGAATAAGAGAGCTCAACACAAAAGCATTTCCTTGCTGCCAGCCCAGGACTGTTATAAAAACACGGCTCGTGTTTTCCCTTTCCAGCTGGTCCCACAGGTCCCAACCAACAGATTACTTCCATAATACAAATTAGCATTTCTTTTGGGTCCATTTTTTCTCCATTCCATGGAGACAAAAAATGCCTATTTTTTAACTGTAACTCCTCTGGACATTCCCAACCTGGGGTTATGAAAAATCCCCAAAATACTTAAATATAACACAAATACATAAATATAATTTCTAGGTGTGGATCCAAGAGGTCATTCCAGGGTAATTAAGGAATTGCTGGTGGTGCTCTCCATTAGGATGTGTAGGAAGTCAGGGTTCCTGCCCCAGGGAAGAACTTTTTTCAAGACCGTGGTGTCTTTTAATTTGCAAAAATAAAGCTAAAAAACCCTTTCCCAGTGGCTTTACTGTATTTTTCTCCCCAGTAAATATTTGAATATCCCTGTTTACAAACAGTTCCATGGACCAGGAAACCTCCCCCCACAGCTTTTTAGTGAGATCCCCATCTGCAAAACTTATGCCAGTATTTTTACCCACAGCTCTGGCAAGAGAGATGCTTTTGGAGAGTTAAAAACACGTTGTGCTTCTTTTATTTTTAATAAACACGCCACGCTCTTTAAATTTCCTTCTCAGCCCGATGTTTTGAAAATCAAAGCCACGGCTCATAACTTAAGAAGGGGTTTGTTTCTTGGCTGAACAAGCCCACAAACCCCCGCCTCGCTCGATAATCAAATCCAAGCCATCTTGTGGAGAGCAGGATTCCTGCTGGAGGGCACGTGGAGCTCAAAAATAAAACAGAATTCAATTAAAAAAAAAAAAAAACCAATTTAAAAATCGGCCTGATGAGGGAACCGGTTAAAAAACTGCTGCTCCGAGGCTAAAGGAGGAAACATGTTCTCTGTGTGTGTGTGTGTGTGTGACATCAGCAGCGGCTGTTTGTGCAGATTCCAAGGGTTGGGATGAGGGACAATGGGGCCGGAGGGGGGGACACCTGCGCCAGCAGCCCACGGAGAAGAATAGGAGGAACTGGGCTTCCTCTGGACACATCTCCAAGGCCACGGAGCACCGAGCAGCCTGGCAGCCCTGGGAAGGCAGCACTTTAACCCGTGAAATTTAGGGGATTTGGGCAACAGGGTTGTCCCCTGCTCACGCCAAACGCGCCCTGCTGGTTGTTAAGGGTTTTATCGGGTGCTTTTAAAAGCCATCAGGGCTGAACGGGGCGTTTCCCAGCGGAATATTTGGGAAGGTGGATGCCCCCTGGCCAGTTTGGGAGCCCCTTTGCTGAGAAGCAGGAATTAGCATGGCTGCAGTGGGAATAAAATGCCAAATACCAGCAACAGGACGTTGTTCTCTTTAGTCTGTCATGGTTATTGTGGGGGGAATGCAGCGTAGCCACCACAGGCTTGGGGCCACTTTATTCCTTAGGCAATCTCTGTCCTTGGAGGAAACGTGTGAGTCGTGGAGGAAAACTATGACTCATATTATATATATATATATGGAAGGGCCTTGGAATGGGATGATCCTCAGGATCCTTTCCAACCCAGTCCATTCTCTGATTTTTTTTTTTTGGATGGAGTGAGTGAACACCCACCTGGACAGAAGGAAATAGGGAGCAAGGAAAGGAAGGAGCAGTGCCCACCCCAGACATCCGTTCCCCTTTCACGGGAGGAGGGGGCTGCTCCAGGTGTGGCACTGTGTGTTTAAGGACCCTCCCTGCAGCTTTATCAGCTTTTGGTGTCAGTGTTTGTCCAGCACTGGAGCAGCTCCTGGGCTAAAGCTTGGGGGGGGGGATGTTCAAAACAACCTCCTTATCAAACCCAGGAATTCCATATCTCTCCCAGATTAGACCCAAGCTGTGTGTGGACCTTTGCTGGTGTTTGGGGTCTCTGCCAGGTGGGAGGGAGCTGCTCCCGCTGCTCTGAGTGGCTCCCACGAGGGTGATGCTGGAAGTCAAGTAAGGACACGGTCCCTGCCTTTGCTCCAGCCCTCTGTGTCCCCAAATCCATCTGGGTTTTATCCCCTCTCTCCAGCCCATTTCTCTCCCTCTGCGCGTTTGAACCCAGGAATTCCAAGCGTGTTTGAACCCAGGAATTCCAAGCGTTGTCTCTTCCTTTCCATTTGAATGCAGTCACTGGGAATTCAGGGAGGAGAAATCCCACTGAACACCAGCAGACACACCCCGAGGGTGCTTTTACATTCCTTTGGCAATGTTAGGTTCTCACAGTGACCTGGGAGCAGCAGCAGGGCCACTTGGAAAACTGGGAAATCACGACAATATAAAGCTGGCTCTTTGTCTGCACGGATTTGTTGGCACAAGAGAAGGAAAAGCTCCTCAGATCCTTATGGGAACAGGACAATCATCCTGGGAAGTCTCCCGGGAAGGAAATCCTCACCCCGAGGGATGTTTTGTCTCTGACTTTGTTGTTAGAGTGGGGGTTTATTATTATTATTATTATTTAAATAATCCTAATAGTATTTCATTGAAAAAATTATTTATTATTATCATTGTTTAAATATAAATAATACAGTGCCCTGAACCTGCTGACGGGGTTGTACTGGGTGGTCTGGTGTGTTGGGAATGTGGTGTGGAACAACCTCTCCTTGCAGATGGAGTGCATTTAGGAAAACCAGGGAGTTAAATGAGCTGCTCTCCCTCCTCCCACTGTTGGGATGAGGGATATTCTCCAACGAGTAGTTCTGGAGGAGTTATGCCATAGCAGGGGGGAAGGTGAAGGAGAGGACAGACGTAAAACCACAGCCCACACTCCCTCCTTTTAATTTCAGAGGGAGATTTAGGGATATTAATGTTGGAATGGCACCAGGACACCTGGCTAGAGCCCACACCCCTCTGACCACACAAACAAACTCTGGGATTTCTCCAGACAAACAATCCAGCCCATCCAGAGATGCTGGGGCTGGGATTTTGAGCTCGGAGAGGGGATTTGCCTGATGATGATCTGAGATAAAGCTGGTTTTGGGGCCCTGGCAGAAAAAAAAACCTGCCAAAAAAAAAAAAAAAAAAAAAAAGCTTCAGTTCTGCTGAATTCCCTGTTATTCCCAAATTTTTTTAGTGTCTCCTGGTCATCTGCTTTGCTGGATGAGCCGTTAGGGAATTTGGCAGCACAGGGAAGGTTGTGCTCCTTCTGTTCCTGAAACTGTGGCTGAGGGAACTCCAACCAGGGATTGCCTAAGGAAAGGAAAATCAGGCTGTTTCACCCATTTCTGCCGTTTCTGGCCCCAAAATATGAAGCGGTGAAAGCAAATGGATGATTCCAAAAGGACAGGGAAGGTTTGCATGTTTTCTCCCTGGATTCATGTGCCTGTTCTTTGTGGGGAGCTGGAGGCAAAGGCAAAAGGTGGGGAGAAGACATTTTTAGCACACTTTAAACCTTTTT